TGAATCTTTATTTAAAATTCAAGCAATGAGATGATTTTTTAAATCCATAAATTGTACAATTATTTAATATATTTTGAATTAAATCTTTGATAAATTTGTTCACACAATTTAGAAACAAAATCCCCGCGAAAATAAGTACATGTAGATGCGTTTCATTAGAATCAGGTAGTATGCTAATTGACCCCAGGTGAGAAATCAGTATAGGTATGTTGACGGTGATCACACACACGGACCGAGGTGTCAGTTAGGGGAGAAGGGGAGTGGATGTTGACCACACAGGAAAGCAGTGGGCTGATTAGAGAGCTACACATACGTGTCAGTTTTCTGGTAAGAAAAAGGTCTTCGATTTGACACCCCGGTGGATTATATTTTCAGTTTATTTCAACGCCGAAAAGGTAAGCTGTTAAAAACATCATGTTTTTCATATATTTTTTTAGGTTATCTAAATAAAATTTTAAATAAATTTTCATGATTTTATTCAAATTTTGAATTTTTTTTATTAATTTAGACATATATCAAGGAATTTATAATTAGCTAATTAAATAGTGATAAAAAATAAATTTAAAATTTGAACGTATACGGCCAAAATCGGTGTTAAAATCATCTGGATCAATGTCTTGTTTTATAATTTTTGTAACATCAAGACTTTAAATAATTGTGCATACATGCAGATCAAGGGCGTAAACATATTAGTAATATTATCAGACGATAAAAAAGGAATAAAAAGAATATTGCATGAAAAAAAGATACATATCAATATTCTGCTTATTATTTATTTATTTGCTTTTTGGGTACTACAGTAATGTATTTCTGATTCATTTAAGAACATCATATAAATAATATCTAATTTTGACAAAATAAATCATACAATTCGATAAATTATTTAAAAAAATATTATTATTTAAAATTAAGACCAGGTGATCGATTATAATTTCATTTCCGAAAAATAGAGATACTGTTTAAATTTTGAAAATCACTCTCTGTTTTACCATGATATAATTATTTTATTTATTTAATTAAAAAATAATTAATTAATCAATTTATTCATTTATGAAATACGCTATTTATTTATTCTTTTCAATATTTCTTTTAATGTTGGATAAAACTTTCTTTTCTCTTTTTTGGTTGATATTTATTTTAGTTTAAAAGAAATCAACTTCAGAAAGCATATATAGGTAGTCACGTATTCAAAAGGAAAACAAAAACAAAACACGATGAAAACTTTAAAAACGTCACGGAGCAGCAGATAATGATACACGCAATTTTGTGTTTCATACATGTATATAAAAAATCCTTCTGTAAATTAAACTCTTAAAATGTCAAATTATAAATAATTATTTTCCTGCTAGAGGCCTTTTTTTAAAACTAAAATATATGATAAACAAAAATTGCAGCGAGTTTTGGTAAACAAATGTTTGGACATGAATGACAAGTGACTCTTGAGAAGATTCTTCGTATTTCAATGTATAACCTGGATTCCCTATTGTGACAGAGACTACCCCCAGGGATCATGATTTGAACAATTTGGACAATCTGTGCTTCCAAGAATTTTCACTTTTCTGGTTTCACTTATTTTTTAAGAATTTTTGTCTTTTTTTGAACAAATCTTTTAAAAGTTGAAATACAGTTGGAAAATGTGAAAAGTTTACAAATGTCACAGCTAAGAAAGACATAGGTGCTTTCAGTGTTGCTTATCCCGTGAAAGCAGAAGATTACAGTAATTAAAGAAATCAGAACCTTTACAAAAAGGAAATTATATATTGTCATAACAATTGTTAAAAAAATAAATGTCCAAGTTTGGTAGAAAAATAATCAATGGATTTTTTAATTTTTTTAAAAGCATTTAAAAACTTATTCAGATTTAAAAAATGCAAAAATGTGTGAAACAATCAATACACTAAGTAATGGATATATTTTATTAAAGAAATTTTTAAAAATTGTAACATCGATTACATGTTTTGACGTTTCATATTTGCTTCGTTGAAAAGAAATCAACTTGAGAGAATAGGTGCTCCGTATTTAAAATGACAAAAACGAAGACTTTAAAAACGTCACGGAGCAGCAGATAACGATGCAATTTTGTGTTTTAAAGTGAAATAAATTGATTTTTGTTAAAAAAAATATGTCAAAAGCGAAATCAAACACAGGCCGTATTTCACACATCGGTTTAACTGTAAAATTCTGAACAAATACTTTAAAAAGTCAAAGACTATTTCTACCCACGAATTGCTATAAATATATTTACATTATACATATTGTATTTAAAAAAGGGTTTTCAGTTGGTGGGCATTAACTAATACTGTGTGAAATGTATAGTAATATTTTTTAAAGAAATTCTTTACTATGTTTTGACTTTTCATTGCTTTAAGTGTGCTCACATTTTGTGGATTTCTGTTAAATCGAAGGGAATGAAACTTCACACATCAACAGGACCTACATAGCTATTTATAGCTACATTTGTATTTAAACGTGCATTTTTACAAGGTGGCCAAGCACTGAACTGAATTTCTTCATACAGTCACACTGATTTTGATTATGATTATGACAAAAATTGGCCAAAAAATGATTACTTCGTATATAATCATTTTTGCGTAGAAACTAATGTAAAATTGCCACTTCAGGAAGAAATCATTTTTCGGCCAAAATTTTGTCGTATTCATCAACAGTGTGCACGTGACTGTATCAAAAATATGGTATTTACCATGTTGCGTTGTTCAGTCTTTTGGCCACAAAATGTAGATAATACAATAAGTAGGTAAAATAGCTACTTTGTGTAGGTTTAAATACCTGCGTAGCTATTAATAGCTACGTAGGTAGAAAAAATCTTTGGACTGAACCTGATCAACAAAACAAATATATTTACATATAATATTGTACTTATTTTAAATTTTTAGTGAGTAATATAACTAAAATTGATATAATCCACGAACATTTCAAACAACCCTCGTTAACAGGGACTGAAAAACCGACCCCAGAAAATCCAGATGTTAGATCAAACGCATAGGAGGTATAATCAAATAAGTACCCTGTGATAAAACAAAGTGTCCTTCTGTTCATGATTTTCTTTTGTTTGTTTGTTGTTAACCTCACTCTAGAAAATTGTTCACTCTTATAGAGATGCCACCACTTGCCGGTGGAAGGCTACAAATTTTGTCCTATACTAGGCAATCAGGGCCATTGAGCAGTGAGGGACTTTTTCATGCCAACACCTACTGCGACACGGGACCTCAGTTTATACAGTCTCACCTGAAGGACTGGTCTCCACGTCCCACAGTGGCATTCGGACCAACGACGTAAGGATGAACTCCTTACTCCGCGACTCTAAAGCAGATGCTCTCTTCACTTCGCCACGCAAGTGACGTACATGGTTTTGCCACCTGATTTTAAAGTGAATTATGCATTATGAATTGTTTGCGCACACATGCTGTTCGATCTTTAACAAATTCTCAAAGGGACATACGTCATGCTTCAAATATAATTGATGAAACTTCAAATTTACTGAATTGTTATTCAGTTATATGCAAATTTAATGAACTACATGTATGTAATCCAACTGGTCTTCTGGACTAGTTTTGAAAGTAATCTCCTCCGGAAACGTTATAATTGATAGGTTTTGGACAGTTGGTCCAACATATCTACCTTAAAACGACTATGAGCTTTTACTCAACACGTACTTTTGATATATCCTACACAAACTGGATTTCTCTAAGCTTTATAAAAATCTTTACATTGATACATTATGTACGATTGCCAGGTCCAGAAAAATGCGCTGTCTTTACTCCTTACAAAACCTTTTAACTCCTTGAAAAAGTATAAATTTCAGGCAAACTGTGCATAAGCATATTGTTAAAGTGATGTTATTTAGTGAATCACTAACTTCTCATTTGGTATTTACGACCCTTAATGCTGATTTAACGGTCGCAAATTGAGTTTTACGGGTGAAGCGTAAGCGGAGCGGGTAAAACGAATGTTTGCAACCATTAAATCAGCATTAACTGTCGCAAATATTAAATTAGAAGATTAGTTATTCCCATTATAATGCAATTTCTGCATTTTGTTTGTTGTTCATATACGTCTTTTTTTTAGTTTTGTTTCATATCCTTCTTTCATGAAATACACTAAGGACCATTGTGTTTTGCGTCGCTCTTTTATTTTGTTGTAATAGAAAGGTTTCATTCTCGTTAATGCTCGTTGTACTGCTTCAAACATCAGTGCATTAGCCAATCAAATCGTGTTTTTCAAAACAGTTGCATTAGAATTAGATAGAGATTCTTAAAAACTTCAAAAGAAAAATTAAAATAATCACATTTTTCAAAAGCCAATAATATTGAAATGTACGACTTTATACACTGAATATAACCATCCCTGCGTATATTAAAACATAGAATTTATAAGATCATACCCAACTGCATCTTATTAAGACAGACAATTTCATATCTTTTTATTGGTCATCAAGAAAATGATTTTATTAAAAAAATTACTGATTCTACACCCAAGCCCTCTGAAGTTAATATTGAAAGGACGCTGGAGTTCTTCAGTGACTACATAATATGTTATGTAGACTTTGGAGACCCTGTCTTCCAACAAATTGTTCAAATTTCGATGGGCAACTAAATTGTGTGAAATACTTTGTTACTTATTATCTTCACTTTTTCATTATATCTAAATTATCTTGGCATTTGATTTAAGAAGGACACTGCCGCATATTCAACAAGTACATTCAAACATTTCCACCAGTTAAACGTTATAAGCAAAAACAAACTTTTACTGTATTCTTCATGTATTTTCAGGATACCGTTACTATACACGCACACATTCACCAAGCTGAAACTCACAACTAAGAACCATTTTTAAAATGCATTCCTTTTTCACTGTTTGATACATTTCAATTTTTTTTATTGTTTTATTACGAAAGGTACTAGGTAACAGTTGAAATGATATGGCAAACAAATTCCATTTTCTTTGACGAAATGTAAAACATTATATTTTTTTCATTAAAGGTATCTGCTGCTGTGAATGGAAGACGGAACATATTACTGGACGCCACTCTAATATCATTGGATAAATTTCGAGAAAATAAATAAATCCACATGTTCTTTGAATATTTGATATCAAAGTAATGACAAAAATGTTTACTGTCAGTAAAAATGAATCTATGACGTTCTTGATGTTTTCAAAGCCCCCAATGCATATACAAGGGGTTTACAAAAGTTCGTGGACGCGAGCCGTGAAATTGAAATCGCTTTAGGGAAACACTGATTTTTTTTTCGTATTCGACAACACTTTACTGTCTACAGATAACAAGAGGCCCATGAGCCAAATCGCTCACCAGAGTAACTTTGGCCATGCTATTCTTTCCCAGAATTCCCCATTTTAAAACCCATTTGGGCCCCGTCCTACCCCTCATAGTCATGATTTGAACAATATAGAATCTTCACTACCCTAGGATGCTTCCACATAAGTTTCAGCTTTTATGTCCCAGTGGCTCTTAAGAAGACTCTCTCCTATATTTAAAGTTAAGAATGAAGTTTGAAATTTATTTATTATATACAGATGTGGTACGAATGTTCTGTAAATTGCACACGAACGCGTTATAAAGATGTCAAGTTAAAAATAATTTTCCCGCTAGGAAAGTAATGCCTCTTTTTAAATTATTGTATCACGGGACACTCTAGTGCAAGTTTGCTTACATGCCAATAATTTTACTTGTTAATTACTCTTATTCTTAACAAGATTGTTAGAAATTTTTTAAAAATAATACAATTACAAGCTAGCAGCTATGACTTGGGGTTAGTAAAATAGTTTAAGACTGTTTTTCCCAAGATACTTTCAAGGTGTAACGTTGTATTATATATCTCTTACATTTTTTATACATGTATTATAAAAAAAATAATAAAAGAAAACATAGTAAAAATGCACAGAGAAAAATAAAATAAAATCGTAGACTGCTTGTGAGACTCGAACTCACAATCTTTATGTCTACAGTCCAGCAATCATACCACAACGCTACGAAGTCATTTTAGTGGAAGGGATAAAATTAAGACAGGATGTTGAATCTTGAAATTATTTTGGAAGAAAAATCAAATACATATTTTCAACATTTTCAATAAGAAGACCAACTTTAACCAACATTATCTAAATGTAATGAGGAGTAGTCTTATCCAAATAAAAATATTCAAAAGTTGTTTTCCTGGTTAAGGGTGGTCTTTAGCTACAGTTTCTCATTGTTTAGAGGGATACCTCAGTATTTACTATATTCTTCATATAAACTGAACGATTTTTATATCTATCATATGAGGGAACTATTAATATTTGAATGTTATTTTTGTGTGATTTGCTTTAAGGCCTGTATAAACTAACATTGTTTGACAAAAATTTTGGTTAAACAATGTATTCAAAAATCACTACTAGAGTAGGCGAAAGTGACTATCAAATGCGCTATGGCTCTTTCTCGATCGAGTTTGATTTTCCTTGCCAAAATATTAAAAAACAGCTTTTATTAAGTTAAGTAATACCTGAAAAGCGCTTTTATAAAAACACTGAATACATCTATAAGTTTTACACTTTTTGTAACGTTTTTATGAAACAATAGGATTACCCCCACAATGAAAAGTTTGTTATCTTCTCTTTTCTTTTCTGCCTAATAAACAGATTATAAAAGCTCTGTTCCCAGGGGTACATTCTGTACACGTCTTTATTAATTTATTACAAACGATCAAAAAGGATCACTTACTTTTAGTTTTGAAAAAAAATAATGGGGCACTTAAAGTAGTAAAATTAATATTGAAAAAAATTGGGAAAAAATATATTAGTTTTAATCGGCATTGCGATCCTCTTCTAAAAATCAACCGATATTATTATTTTTAGAAGAATCAGGTATGAAAAATCTTGGCAATCAGCAAAAATTTAAAATTTATTAATAAATCTTATTTATAAGTTTTGAAAATTTGATCAATTCCTAGGGAAGGTATTATTAGCTGTGAAAGTACTTTTTAAATTTGAATTTGT